TTACTACTTAGATAGTTTATGTATCAGTACATCTATCATCCAACATAAAATGACAGACAGAAGGGAAAGGGTACAATGCAGTCAATATTCTTTCTCAATTTAAGATGTCACTGGAGTTCCTAATGCAAGACAATAATAAATAATAATAATAATAATAATAATAATAATAATAATGATAATAATAACAATAATGATGATATATAATAATAATAATAATAATAATAATAATAAAAAGGATAAATTACAATTTCAGTTCAAAAAAGGTAAATATATATCACGAGCTATCAGAGTCGAAGAGGAAAAAAACAATGCTTCGAGTGCGCTTTTCATTCGTAGGAAGTAATGTTCTTCTGAATGCAAAAGCATCTCAGGCAGGTTCTTGGCCCTTCTGCTGAGCCTGAGGTATTTGGTTGAAGAGACGATCTTTCACCACCTGAGCCATCAGACCATGCAGGGCTTCCATTGTGGTCTTGCACGAATCTCTTGTTACACGGCTCAATTTATCTTCAGTTTTCTTTTCTTGTGGGTCTAAACCAAACAGACCAGCCCGACCAAGAGCAGTTTCTGAATTTTCTAATTTGTCGCTGAGGTCAAAGATCTGACGAGTCATATACTCTGCATTCTGGAATGAAAAATAATTTTAATATACTAATAGGATTTACTGACATACAAGTTTCATAGCTTTCATGGTAATTTTATCAACCCCCCACAGAACAGTGTCATAAGGATTTCGCAATGTTAATCCATCATTAACAGGTATGGCTATAGCCTTCATGACGTACTGATGCGTATACGCATCATGACTCGCTCTAGTGAACGAGAAGGTTAACTGGCTGTGCTGCTGCCAGAAAGACTCGACTATTGCATAATGATTATGTGACAGAAAATTCTGGCCCTGTTATGATAGGATCAAATCTCATACTTCATACAACTAATGACATTACACGGATAATAATGTTCATATGACATTGATATCAAAGTTACAAAGATATATATGCATAAAGATTTCAAGAATTAGTAAACAATGTTGATAATTTTCAGGCAAATTGAATTTTCTTTGTAGTTTTCTATGAAATTCATTTTAAAGTTAGGTGATTTATTTCTTCTCCTTTTATCTTGTAATATGAGAAAGGAGACATTTTGTTCCAATGGAAGATATACCGAAGAAAATGCAAAATATTAACCTTTTGAATTTGATGAAACCTCTATGGCCTACAAATAATTTACAATAATTTTTATAATATCATAACTAAACTAAATACTCTGCATTTAACTTCTGCAATGAGTACATATTAAATGGCTTGCTGGACATTTTCATGGATTTGTACTTATCTGCACAAATCTGTAAAAAGTACAAGGTAGATGTGAACAATGTATTCAGTACACAATACTGTGCTCTCATATGACAGGCCTTCAACTGGTGTTTCCAGTTTCTCGTTATGTCAATAAGGTAGATACCAGTAGAGTTCTAGGATTCCTAAGGGACCTCCTACCTTAAGCTGAAGTAACAGTATTTGTGCTATCATCAACATAATGGTAATATAGTCATCATTACTTTTTCCTGTCACAATTTCACCCCTTCATGTAAACAGCAATGTGGAAACTAGAATTTGTGGGTGTATTATATTATATTAAAGCTTTTCTAACAGTGACACTATGATGACTAACTTCCTGTGATACAAGCATTCATATACAGTTTTATAAAATTAGCTTTTATATTCCACTATTGTGGAACTGTATATACATAGGCCACTGGCGAAAGTACATGCACAGTCCACTGTAGTTTGTATTGTCAATTTTGTTCACAAATACATAACTACACATCCACCTAGTCATTCAGGAGTCAATTACTGGGTGTGCATGACTTTATCTGCTTTCCCCAATCCTTAACTTTTAAAGAAAATTTTATTTCAAATACTATTATCATTGTCATCAACTTATCATTATCATCATTGACATTATTATCATCATGACATTATGAATCCAAAAGAAATTAGCTGAGGCCTTGATGATGGGAATATGCCATCATGGAAAAATTTGAGGGAAATGTGGTGTCACAGAAAATTTGGCTGAAGGCCAGTGTGATGGGAATTACTTGCTCTTAGAAGGAAGATTAGATTTAGTAAGCATTTGGGCACGCACACACGCACATAAAATCCTAATAATAAATCAAAGTAATGTTCAAAAGTATTCTAAGACGTAGTTCAAACCTACAAAACACTGGTCTTACTTACTGTAATAAGTGATGACGAGCTGAGAGTGTTGACCCAGTACTTGTTCCAGAGGGAATCTAACAGCTTCTTGTCGAGAGATGACTTGAAGTATGATATGTCTAGAGAATAGTACTGCTTACAATGAACACCAAAATCTTCAATTTTGTTTAGAGGAATAGTTTGGTACTCAGATGGTCCCTCATCTGGTGGCTTGTATCCCTGGAAGTATAATAGTTTAGGGATTAGTCTGAATGTGTTAAATCACTTGTGTTACTTACTTAAATATTTACTATTTTAATCCTACACTATACTGCATCCACTCTCAGGAAAGAAGAAAATGGTTAACTCACTCGGACTCAGGAGTACTCTGATTTACCAAGTCTCTTTTGTAAGAAAATAATAAAAGTGGTGTTCACATGTGTTTAGTATTTTAACACTTACATTTTGCATTCTTATTTCATTTTTGATTGAAATTTGCTGCCCTCAACACCCCTTTATTCTTAATGAAAGCAACTTGTGAACTGGAATACAACAGAATACAAATGCCTATCAGTTTCTTCTTTCCTAAGACTGAAACTACAGATTTTAATAATTCATAATAAACAATATGCTTATCATACTAATAAAACATAACAGTAAAATCAGCTTACCTTTGGATAGGTCCTAAAGGCTCCAATGTTCACTTTGCCTGAACTAATTGTACGGATTGGGTCAATCACAATGGCGACAAAGGGCTCCTGATAGTTTTGGTTCAACATCTGTGTAGACACATCAATTCCAGACAGCCAGCAACCGTACCCTGGATGGCTGTGGTACCAACCAATTACATTTTCCTGGCGACCAACCTAGAGCAGGAAAAATTTACTGGATTAATCACTCATGTAAGTTTTCTACTTTTTTGCAAGTAATAATTTGTATTACATTCTGTCAGTAGGAAAGAGAGAGGAAAAGTGGGAAAACCTGAATTTAACAAATTCCAGAGTTAACCAAAAATTTTCTTTTCTAAGGAAAGCTTAATTTTCTTCTGTAAAATCTCAATTCAAGCCCTGTACAAAGAAAACAACTATGTAGGTTTTAAGACACAACAACCTACCTGTTTAGCTGCTTCAACATAGGCAGTCATATACTCATAAGCCTGAGCCTGAGCATTAACTCTTGTCTCTGTTCCCTCGACTGGAAGTGCGAAGGAATCCATAACGATCATCATTGATCCGTCAACTTTACCCAGCATAAGACCCATCACCTGTTATGGATAAAAATAATTTAATGTATACCTATGTCGAAACATGAAAATAACATTTTGCAGCTGATAACCACATGCTTTCCTTTATGCCTTTGGACATACTGTAATCAGACCTATATATTAACTGAACTTTTTAATAGTCATACAACTTTGAATTTAAATTTCTTCCTTTTACTATATGTAATTTCTTATCTATTTTGTACATTCACACAATTCTCAAAATATCCTCACTCACTGTCCTTCCACACAGAATCATATCACCATGTAAAACAGACCTCAAGTGTGCCTCCAGACCGGGCGTGCATCACCATCTTCAAGAGTGCTAAAGCTGAGATCTTGATCTGTTTGAAGAAGTGTGGGCTGGAAAAAATATATATAAATTAAGTATCACTTGCTTGAAAAGTCTGCATTGTTTTAAATAATCCCATGTTCATTTATTTTCTCATTTCATATATCACCTCTAAATGGTAAATCAAAACATAAATAACACTCACTTAGGCAAAAGAAATGGTTAAAACAAATTTCAAGTACTGTTACATCGCCATTATTCACCTTATCAAAGGAACTCTACAGACTGTTCTATATACATACTCTTTTTCCCAAGGTTTGGCCTGAAGGATATCCTGCTGCTGTTTGCGATCATACTGATATATTTCATCTGCAGCGTTGTAGTACTCCATGTTATTAGCCATCTCCCACATGCGCTGAGCGATCTGGGATTGGTTCATTTTGCTACTTCCTTCACCAGTGCTGGAGGAGGCCATGATGTCACGTTCTGAAAGTTCTGCGCTGTTATAGATTGAGTGAAATGAAGATGAAGAGATGAAGTTGAAGCCCAAACGAGGTACAAAAGGAAAATGGGAAGGATGAAGATCAAGAGAATATGGAGGGTGATACCTCTTATTTCTTTTTACTTGTTATATATTTAAAAAGCTTATTTTCAGTTTCCTGAGCAAGTGTATCTTTACTTTACGATAAGTGTTAAATCAAGTGATTTGATTTGTCATTTTTCTAAAAGTGAAAGGAAATGGTCATTCAGATTAATACTAATCAAAGGCTAGATTAATTCTAATCAAAGAGATTCTGTATACTATTGGTTTCTCATACGTCTTAAAAAGTTGTAAAGATTCCTTTACATTGCTTCATGAAAGTAGTGAAAATATACATGAAAAAAGCCTAAATACCAGTAGACCTATTTGCTACGGAAAAAAGTAAGGCACAATACCATGCTCACAGAGTAAAATTATACAATTAAGTTATCAAAAAATATATAATTCTTGTGTACGAATGTTACTGTATATATGTTTGGATACATAGCATCATATTCACATGAATATGAAATAATGACCTATAGAATCAAATTTTGGTGAAAAAAGAATACTGGTAACCACAAATGAATTAAACCACCAGTTCTCAACCTGTAGACCATGGACTCCTGATGCAACCAAAAGGGTGCCCTCTGGCATTGTTTCATTTTTGTCAATAACTCCAAGTATAATATATAAATCCTGCTTTTGTATGGCATGCAAGTATTTTCCAAAAAA